CCCTTTTTATAATCTGTGTGGTTCTTCTCGGTCTCGCAGTTGTTGAGGTAAGTTAGTATCCTACTCCTTCCCACATCTGCACATTCCATAAGTGCGCTCTTCGTTGTAAAGGTTTGTAGATCTAGATGTTAAATTGGTTTAATGAGAATCACTTTGTCAAGATAAAAAATAGCTATTCAAAGGAACCATCAGAACCTACAGATGACAATACTTTGAACTTCTCCCTACATTACACTTTAAAGGTCGTGTGAGTATAAACTTTTTATTTAAAAAAAATGCGCTCTAGTTTAGAGATAGATCCTTGGCTCTGCTAGCACAAAAACCACCAACCTCAATCAAATAGCCACGGCATTCACTGAGGCACAGCCACCAGCTTTTCATCCAGTACACATGCATGCGGGTATTTATGAGACTGAGGTGTAATCCGTCAAGTTTGTTTACTGCCCTATGGCAGCACAGCCCAGGCGATCGCCGATGGGAGTTCGAGCTGCTAGTCTCTTAAGCACAGCTTTATATTCTGCATTCATCTTTCGCATTGAAAAAATCTAATAAGGAATTAGCGCTCTCCTCTTTGTTTATGGGGCCTTGGGTGATTGACTATGGGACTCACTGGAAGTGCTTCTTGTAAATGTCCTTATCTATCGGATCTGCCCCTCAATCAACTTAAATATGCCGACTGCTTGTAGTGGCCATTACCTAACTTATCAAGAGAGCAAAGTTTGTAATGCAATGAATATTTGTAAGGGCTGTGGAATGTTTTATTTCCTATGCGAAGGCAATGCGCGCGAAGTAAGGATACGTCACTGACACGACGCACTTTAAGCAAGGTGTTCAAACCCTACCCTTACATCAGCAGACGCTTACTATTTAGCAACATCAACTCTCCGATACACAGACAGAACTGAACTCAAGGTAGCATCGATGGCACAGAGGTCGTGACGCTGAGATCATGGTATCCAATCAAGTGAACCGACTTAAAGCTTAACTATGCAGCCAACTCAAATGAGATCGTAGTGTTCAGTGAAAAGGAAGAGCCACGTTGCGTAAAAACCTCGTTACCAGCACTTTTAAGACCAAAAAGTAATACCGGCATTTTTCTTTGCAACCCTTTAGCTAATTGGGATGATTCTCGCCTGCTGCTATTGGAGAGCTCCAAAATATATCTACAAGTGAAGATTTTCCCCAGTACCCACCTTCACTACACCCCAATACGAAACTTTTAATATATTGCTATTGAAAAAACGTCAATCCTTTTCTATCAGAAAGAAGGCAATTCAATGGGACATAGTATTGAAAACTGGGAAGGTAAAAGGATGTGTATACATGGATACCAGTAAAAGCTGAATCGTTGTCAGACAGCTTAATAATCTCCATTGTATTCCGCCTTAATTTCCGCGCCATACTCACCATATTGAGACATTTCGTCTCGACGATATCTATCCCTGCGTCCGTGCTCGCGGGAGCGACTGCGTCTTCTTTCCCGGCTACCTGAAAGGGAGCATGGAGTTTAGCAGAAATAAACAACCAAGCCAGTAACCCAAGTAACCTAATCAAGAGTAATGAAAAGACCAGAGAAAAGTTGACTTACGACTTCTGCGATGACGGTCCCGGTAGTCACGAGATCTACTGCGACGCCTTCGATCGCGATCGCGATCACGATTCCTCTCGCGTTCCCGGTCCCGGTCCCGATCATCATCTCTTCTGCGTTCATCACGACGCGCGTCACTGGGTCCACTGCGAGACTTACCAAGACCCTTACCTGTCAGCAAGCGTGTATCAAATCAACGTGAGCGGTAAAAACGGCACACCGCATGATAAGGGGTGATGCTGAAAGATAGTCGCAAATAAAATATTGATTATCTGAGGATTCAAATGCCGTAATGACTGTCTCGCGATCAGGCAACTGTAGACGAATCAAAAACTAGCAAACAGTCAAAAGCCTTAAGACGAACCCAATCGCCGCGGTCGCCAATCCGGACGAGTTCTTCCACGTTCAATGTCGGTAAGAATACGGTGCCCATCAATTTTTCGACCATTCGCATCCTTATTCGCAGCTTTATAGTCAAAGTAGGGGCCGAAGACAAGCGAGTTTAAAAACGGAACAGGAAAAAAATAACAGTCAAACAAATGATGCCCGACCTAGACCGCGCTTACCAAGACTACCGTTGGCTAGAGCGTCGTAATTTCCGTGGACATAAGTTGACGAAGTTTGCATCTATCCCAATGTGGCTACTGCGTATTATCATGAGTAGTATTACCAGAGCAACCTTTTCCCTGGTAAATCTTACCCGGCTTACCATAAAATAAGATTAAATGTTGCAATTTGCCTAATGACATTCAAACGCGGCTAGAAGATCCCAAGCCGGCAATTGTAATTCGTTCTGAATAAAAAAAGACAAGAAATCTTACATCAATGCCTTTTGCCACAAACTAATTCCTGCCCTTAAACCAGATACCCAAAGAAAGGTGCGAGCGTTTGCCCCGAACATAAGCCATACCTGGCGCAAACTGATAAATAAGAATTTCTCATCCATTCGTGCTGGCTGATTAACTGTCATCTGCGATTCAACGAGTGGTCAGTACAAAGATACAAGAAGACAAGCCTATACTCAGGCAAAAAATACAGTAAACAGTGTTCGCAATAATATTAGGCATGCAGATGTTCTGCTTACCGTGCATGTCCCTCTCGTGTTCGAATTCGATAAAGGCGTAGCCTCGAGGCTTGCCAGTAGCTGCATCCTTTATCATGAATATCTGAAAAACAGGTAAGCATTAAAATACAGGGCTACTTTTTTTATTGGACCGTACACTTCGAACTCCCTGCGCAGCTTATGTTCAGAAGTGTCGTAGTTCTAAATAAGTGAACATAGGGCGAAAAATCTTTACCAGTCGAGCAACAAAGAGAGTGTTGTAAGCATTCGTCGTTCCAGAAACAAGTTTCTTTGGATTCCCTGAAATAATGATGCATGTAAATGGACATACAGAGAGCAAGATCACGTTCAAGCTTATAATTTGCCTGCTCTTGTCTCTCCTTCCGCTTCCGAGCCTTTCTTTCCTCCCTTGTTTCAATCCGTGATGAGACAGGTGTTTCAGAAGGATCCTGAATGCAGGAAAGGCACAGTAAGAAAATGAGAATCGGAAACCACGACGGCGCAAACATTCAACATTTGAGAACCACCTCGAATTCCCCCAAAAACTGTGCAACGCCGGTGTAGGGAAGTTTGCGATGGTTCTTATGCTTTTCTATCGGAGGCACGTATGGTATAGGATCGCGAGGAGCGAAAAGAGCCAGCAGATTTGGAGGCAAAAACTGAGTCATTACTTAGTATAACGAAAACGCGCTCGAAACAAACTAATACTTAAAACAATATTTTGATATGAAATGAAGGACATAACTTGGCCAAACAAAGATGCTAGGAAATTCAAAGTCCGCAACATGATAAATGTGAATTTAATAAATATAATGAAATGATCAGCAAGCAGCTAGTCATGCAATATGTATGTTATGGTTCTCCTTTAGAATCGCTTCAAATGAGTATTTTGACATACGCACACATGAACGTGAATACTTTCTTAAATGTAGTTAGAAGCTTAAAAGGCTAGTATTATCCATCATAGCTCTAAGGAGTTCAAAGCTCTCGTAGTCCTACAAAGGTGCCAACAATGTACATTGGGTACCTATCCACACACTTATGATCATAAAATAGATAATCTCCCGTGTCATTTTGGTCTTTTGATGCTACGGATTTTCCACCTACATATTGATTTAACCCATGAAGTTCGTTTTAACTCATCGGCTTTATCAATGCTATGGTGATTCGTTTGCGTACAACTTATTGTCTGGTATGCCAATTTCGGAGGAGCCTTATTATTGCCACGAGCAGATTAATATTCCACCTCTTCTACCAGACATTTTGAAGCAATTTACAAAGGCGGCTATCCGAACGCAACCGAAAGATCCGCTCGTGTGGTCATATGAGTAAGTTGGGTCTATTGATTTGTTCGTAGATATTTTAAAGCACTTGCACACAACGAAGTTCCTCCAGTTAAGGAACGTTTGGAAATGGCAATTTCTTCGCAAAAAACTGACACTGGACTGACTCCTGGTTTGCTAAAAATATTGCATAATCAGGTAAAAGAAGTGCCTTTAAATTCTATTTGTGGCATTTTTGACCATTTAGAAGCTACAGCTCTGTATATTTTTGACCTATATGTCTAATTTTTACACTTAAGAGCCGTGTCAGATGTGTGTTGCTGCCAATTTCGTTCGAAGATAGATCTTTTATTCCGCTAATTGTGGCCGCTTTATTATGCGTTTCCGCAACTTATTTTGTTTCTTATAGCTTGGTGGTTTCCAACGTGTTAACCTTTGCAAAATTGAGGAAAAATGGCTTGCACTGGCTCTACCTTTGGAACGACTACAAGAAATTTGGCGCATTGGCAACTTCGGGGATGATGCTCGTTGGCTTCACTTTTTTGCTATTGCGGCCACTCAAGTTGCTCCAGTAGGTGTGCTTAAATAATGTTTGCATTTAATATTATTTGTTTTTTTTGTGTAAAATCGCGCATTGTTGTCCTTGCTACTCTTTTATCTGTAATTTATTACTTG